TTATAAATAAAGAATCGAGCTCCTCCAAGCCCACGGTGTTTCCAGTTCCTCCACCCGATGACCTTGCACAGCCCCCATCTCAGCCTGCAGCTCCAGCAACTCCGCTTAAACCAGCTGCAGCTCCTCCAAATCCCCCAGAACATGACCCAAACCAAGGACAGGAGTTGCCACAAACAGCAGTTGTGGACACACCATCAGGTGGATCCAGGGGTTTTCCTACCTTTGATGGGTGGGGGAGGAAGGCAGCTGGAGAGAAAGAAGAAAGTGTTAAGAAAAGTGGTAGACAAATGAAAGATCAAGAATTTGCATAGGGTTGTAGCTGTTCATTAAAAATCTACTCCAGGGGCTTAGTAACAGCTCTCAGGTTACAGAGACACCTCTTCCTCTCCTGTCTGGTGAAACAGATGCTTCCCTCACATCTTACCATCTTACACTGAACAGGTTTTGGATGTAATCCTGTTAATTATTCTGAGGTGCTTCTCCAGAATGCATTATGGAGCAAGATTGCAACCTCTTGACGGAGGATATGATTTGAACGTGTATCTTTTAATGAGACTGATAATACGGGCACCAGTTCCAGCTATTGTACCACAAGGTCGCTTACTTTCTTCCACATAGCCACAGTAAGAGACTGCCTGAATGTAAAGTATTTTTTTCATAGTAATAGTAAATTAATAGGAAAATACTTCAGAAAATGCTGTATTACAACTGCATTCCTGAGGGGTCCCGATTCCTTCATTTATTAACCTTTAATTAATTGACAATTAGTTAAATTGTGCCTGTGACTGTGGAAGGGGAAGATTTCTCTCACCTGATCCCAGACACTGGCCATGCTCTCTTCAAAAGACAAAGCCAGGGCAGGTGCTGTGTGTTCTGTTTCACTGTAACAGACTTGTAACGTGCCTTCCTTCTGTGTAGATGGCAGTGCCCAGCAGGACAGTGCAGCCCCTGCAGCTCCCTACTCCAGCCTTCCGGAGCCAGAGCTGTACCCCAGCCTGTCTGGAGACAGTGCCCAAGCCTCAGCCAGCTCCAGTGACTACCAGAGCTTGCTGCCTCTGGATGTCAGCTGTATTCTCAAGCCAAATTCATTTGACATTGCAAAGATGGAGGAGCCTGCAGGTAGGAAGCAGTAGTTCCTGTTTAAATATTTCACTGGTTCCCTGAGCCCATCTTTGTGACCAAATTACCAATGAGTTACACAGAGGAAAGAACAGGTCTCTGTTTATCTTCTAATGAAGCCACTGAGCCAGCTCTGAGGAGCATACTAATTTTGAACAAATTAGTTTCTTTGCCACCATATAAGCTTCAGGTATATAGCTCTTGGGTTTTAAGAGGTAAGTGGGAAAAATGTACTGGGGGGCAAAACTGAGGGATACAAAGCTAAGTATATTTTACATGCACATGGCATAGTATCTCTACAGCTTCTACACTGCACAAGCCGTAGTGTACTTTGCAATTCACTGTTTTAATGCAAAGAATGTGCTGACTGCTATAAACAGGTATTAAAAACCCCCACATACATAAAGCATGTGCTCCTGTCTTTCACAGGAAATATCAGTGGAGATATTATTGATGAACTCATGTCTTCTGATGGTAAGTATTTAGCATCTTTTCTAATAATCACAAGTAGCAGCATGGTTTTTGTGTGAACAGCACTTAGAAGGCATCTGTTAAATATGATGCCAAGAGTCAGTATGAAACTACTTCTTTCCAGTGTTGCCTCCTCTGTCACTCTTGTCTTTGCTCCCCTTTCTATTCCCTGCAACAGTTTTATTTAACAGTCAAAATATAAAAACCTTAATCCAACAAGCACTTACATGCATGAGTAACTCATCCATACTTAATTTAGGGACAAAGAAATAACAAGCTGATGACTAGTGTGCTGCATTAAAAAAAATTAAATCTGGTGCAATTCCATTCTGCCTAAAGCTTTGTGCAGGTGCTTTAAGTATTTCAGAACATAGTTCTGGATGTAGACTGATAAATGTCCAGCTGTGATAAACTAACAGAACAAATGTCATGCATTTCTTTGGCCATGAGTGCAGCACCGAACCACAGGTACTACAGAATTCATGTGCTTTCTACCTCTCTGCCACTCTCACTGAGGTGCCAGGCAAGGAGGGGAACTTGACTCGCTTTGTTCCTTTTGCCCTGTGTTCTGTAAGGCCAATAATATCTGCCCCTCAAGCAGACAGCCTCAGGGCTCATCCGGAAAGAGGCATGTGGTTATAAGATCCAAGGGGGCAAGATGGGATTCTGTGAACGTGCCAGTATGTGATTAACATGGAAACAGCCTCCACTTCTAAAACAGGGATGGCATGTACACTGTATCAGATTTCCTACAGTGCAGCGAGAGCTGAGGCTTCTCTTCTTGCATTCCCCCCACAAAGACAGCTTCGAGTCCATGCTTGAAATGCAGTGTACAGACAAACTGCTAGCCTCCGTTTCCCTATAAAAATAGAGGTAATGCTAAGTTCCTTACTTTTTTGAAGGCTGATACATGGAATATTGTAACAAGACAAAGGAATATAAATTACGGCTTTCTAGTTAAAAGTTTTCAAAAGCTGCTCAGGAACTCTTTTGCTGCAGAAGAAATTAAACCTATATTCCAGAGCTATCACTCCACTTCAGCAAACTGACTTAAAATACCAAGCAAAAAATGGTATATACATCACTTACTACCTTAGTTTGAATGCAGTACAGGTTTTCATGGTATGTATCTCAGTGAGCTTGTCAGATTATCAAGACTATTTTAATTATTAAGACTAACCCTGATGACAAACATACTGAATTATGATAGGGCTGATTTTCCAAAAGTGTTTTAATTAAAACTAAACTATTCCTGCTTTACAGTTTTTCCTCTCTTACGACTCTCTCCTACTCCCGGAGATGACTACAACTTTAACCTGGATGATAATGAAGGAGTCTGTGATCTCTTTGATGTGCAGATACTAAATTATTAGATGTTGTGTCAACCAGACTACTTATCTACCTCTAACTGTAACATTCTAGACTTCTTCATAACCTAAGTATTTGAATAATGAATGTATAACTTCTTAGTTCACTGACTCTGGGAGTATATTTCCTTTTGCTTCCTTTAACTACTTCACAAAACAATTCAAGAACAAGAAAAGGGCTCTTATCAAAATTCTGGCACTTTTTCACCCGAGTGTTTTTCTGTCTAAGCCAATTGGCTGGAGCTTTCTTTAGTAAGAAAAGTGAAAATACTTTATAGCCTTTTGATCATTTAAAAAAAAATGATTAGGCTTCTTGCTCACAATTAACAGCATTTTCTTTGAAGCTTTACTGCCAAGAAGCTTTCTATATTCTTTCTTAATTTTTCAAACAATTTTGAAGCTTTCACTGCCAAGTTGAAAAGTGAAGGGTATCAACTTGAGTTATGCTAAATTGTTTCAGTGAACCAATTTTGTGAAGTGCCTTCTGTTTTAGCACTTTAAGTTTCTCACACTGACTTCTGACATTCCACTTTCCTAGATGATAGGAAAGGTCTGTTTGTAGTTTGTATTAAAGTGTGCCAATACTTGTATATTAACAAGATTTTTTTAATAAAATTGTGCAAACAAAGCCATCAGTATTTGTGGTCTTTCATTTCTTGCAACAACTTCACTGTCCATTTTGCATTACAACTGAGATAATAAGCTTGTGGCAGCATCCACATTTGCTGGTTCCTCTTCTATATTTGTGGAAACCTAGGGGAAAAAAAAAAGTTTCAGTTTAAAGAAGAAAACAATTTTTTTTATTCTGCTTGAACCCTAGACTAATAAATACTCATTGTCCAGAAGATTAGTTTGTCTTTTATATATTTAATTTAGGCTAATTTTGCAGTCATACTTCAATAATATGGGAGGATTGCAGGATACACTGAGGTTGAGACAGAAGCCGGAAATGCTTTGTCCTTTGGGAGCATTCTACCAGTAACATAACACACGTGGCCCAACTGAGACATGCTCAATTTTTAGTTCACAACTGCTCTCAACAACACTTTTGCAACTTTGGAGAAAATACTATTACAGCCTGAGTGATTAAATTCAGCAGTCATGTAGAGCTCTACTGGCATAGGAGCACAGTCTGAATTCTTGGAGGAATAAATGACAAGCCAGCAGGGACAGGATCACTGACTCCCAACTGCCTTGAAATCCTGGCTTGGCTTCATCCTGTGCTGGCAGCACTGTCACTTATGTTTCATTTTTCCCTCAGCCTCTCCTTAAGGTATTTGACACTTGTTTAGTTGCTCCCAGCTGTACAGAAACTTGACAATCTCAGGCACAGTGAGTACTCGTCCACTTCTCCAAACTCCACCTTCCTCCAACAGCCAGGATGGATTCTTCTGCATCTCATCCTGAAGTACTGTTTTCTCTCCCTGAAACTGTGCCTAAAGCATCAGTCAGCAGAAAGAGTTTATATGGAGGAGCTTGCCAGGAATTAAGCTTTATTAATTAATTCTTGTGCAAGACTGCAAGTAGGCCTGTATTAAAAAAATAGACAAAGGCAAGAGAAACACTGTCTTGAACTTAACTGCTGCAGGCAAAACCTCTACTACAGAAATTGCTGTTTCACGTGTTGGTCCTTCTGATGAGGTAATATGAAGGCTTAGGAGTTGGGAACAGAGAGGCAGAACTGTTTCAAAGCACTGTCAGGTGCTTCAGGTAGGGAACAGCCAGGTTCATCCTCTCTATGTCTATTCATGTGGAGATAAAAGTTTCAAATCAAGGGGACGGAGCTGGGACTAACTTAAAAGAAGCAATTAGAAATCAGCTAGAACGTAATTTAAAAATATGCTTTTGAAGCCTGCTTCAGCATGGCTACCCACCCTCTTCTCTCTCTAATAGAATTTTAACATGCCAAACAGGTTTCAGAATTACTACACAAATGAAATTAGTAAAACTGAGATTCTAGCTTTAAAGCAACTGCATGAATTCACAGAATATTCTGAGGTGGAAGGGACCCACAGGAATCATTAAGTCCAACTCTTAAGTAAATGGCCCTTACAGGAGTTGTACCCAACACTTTGGTGTTACCAGCACCATGCTCTGACCAACTGAGCTAACTGCCTGCAGTCTTAGAGACACATAATGCTTTAAACACACACATTCATTTCACCCTCCTCAGACTTTTACAAAGGGAAATTACCTGCTGAGTCTTCTGAGGTTCTGCTGTGGTACCTTTTGATAGCTGCCGGATTTCTTTCTGAACTTCGGCAAATGCTTTATTTATTGTGCTAACTTTTTCTGCATTTTTAATGTTTATCTGGGAGAGAAAAAAATACACACATTGGTATTTTTAACAAAAATTCCACTGATGTGAAACTGCCCCATTTTTGTGCAATTATTATGCAGCCAGTGTTACATGCTTTTCAGTATGTTTTATTGGTTACTTCATTAGGTCATCTAGCTGTGTACTAATAAATTCAAAATTAAGAGTTAAACTTGCTATATTTGAATGAGAGCCCATAGTGATCCAGAAAGAGAACACACAGAAAACAAAAGTCAGGCTTCACAGGCCCTGCTACACCACCCTCATCTCCTCTTAGGTGGAGTAAAGAAAGTCCCAGGAAGGGTTCCTTCATCCCTCTGGTGAACTGACCCTGGCTGGATGCCAGATGCCCACCAAAGCCAGTCCACTGTTACCTTTCTCAGCTGGACAGGAGACAGGAAATATAATGAAAGGCTCATGGGTAGAGATAAGGGCAGGGAGAGATCACTCACCAGTTGCCATCATGGGCAGAACAAACCCAACTTGGGGGGAAAATGAATTTCATTTGTTGTCAAATGCTGCAGAGGAATCTCAGCTCTGACACCTGGAGCACCTCCTCCCCATCCTTCTTCGCTGACCTTGATATCTGCAGGGCTGTTTCTTTTAAAAATTCTCACTCCTCTGTTCTGACTGCTGCTGGTGGTGTGCTTCATAACTATATCATCCCTGAGGCACTGCCAGTACCTGATGGGCTCTGCCCTGGCCAGCAGCACATCCATCCTGAAGCCAGCTGGCATTGGCACTTTCAGACACGAGGGAAGGTTCTGGCAGCTTTTTTGAGAAGCCACACCTGTAGCCCCTCAAACCAAATACAATTTGTAAATGATTTTACTATTTTGAATTTCTTCCAGTAGCTTACCTTTCATCATCGCACCTTGTATCCTAATTGTTCGTAATATAGGTCTGGCCAACAATGTCTACCAGGTTATACTGCAGTAAAGAAACTGTGGCTGTAGCAGAGTGGAATGTGTATCTCTGGGCACCTCAGCCTCTCTTTCAGCCCAAGTCTGCCTTTGTAAGTTATTGCATCAAAGATTTTGCTTTCAAAAAGGAAACGCTAGAATATGGACATGTGTTGCACTCTGAGGATAGCTGTCTGTGGTAGAGAAGCAGGTTGGATGCAAGAGGGCATAAACTCCCACCACTGCAGCAAAGTAAGATTCAGCTGATCTCAGCCCTAGCACCTGCTGCTTCCAAAGTCTGGAAGAGGATCATAGCCAGGTAATGACCTATTACAACGCAAACATTCCAAAAGCATGCTCCAAGGTCTTCAGGCAACCCCTAATTTCAGGATACCTACTGCTGTTTCAAAGGCTACCTCTGTAATTCATCTCTGAGCAATTTAAACAGGCAGAAGCGAACTGTGAATGGTTACACGTATTCATTTTGCTTTCAAAGCCTCCATAATTTCAGAGCACGTATACAGTAACAATAATTCCATTCTGACTGACCACAGAAACCAGCATTAAAAAAGCAGTGGCAATGAGGCTGATAAAACAGGCCTACTCAGATGAACACTTTAACTGGGACAGTGACTGGAGAAATACAGCCCCAGCTCTGATCAGAGTGGACGGACTGTTGGTAATGATAGCACAGGGTTAAAATGTTTCTAAAAATCATGGGAATTGCATACAATAGATTCAGGGGGGTGGAAAGGAAGATTGGGTCTGGTAGGCCTAGGAAAGAGAACTAGGCCCTGGGAACGAATATTGAGCTTTGTTTATTTCTAGATCATGTGAAGCTACACCTGCGTAATCATCATATGATAAATGATATGATTGTTAAATGTAATGACTGTTTGGTAATTGAATATGATTATTGTTTAATCGTAATAAGAATCACGAGAAACGATGTAATCCTAACAAGAATCATGAGAAAGAATATTTGGGGGGGCCTAATGAAAATTGCAAGAATACATGCTTGGATAAGATCAATATATATATAGTATACAATAGAACAATATGGGTTTAATAATTAATATATAGTTATACAAGGAAAAGGGTATAAAAACATGTTCATCTCGGATCCATGTCGTAGTCAGATTTGGGTCTGCACCCCTGATTCTCAGAGCTCTTCAATAAAGAACCTGCAAATAATCATTCTGTGATTATGTGTTTTCAGCGCTATCAGTAACACGAGGTACAAAGACCATGTGTTCAATCAGGGCCTGTCACCATCTTCCAGCTTCACAAGGGTTTTAGAAGGTTCCAGTCAGTTTTAATATGTGATATCCTCAGGTACTCAGGCAGGACTCCTCCAAAGAAAGAGGCTCTGTAGCTAGCACAGGTATCTACATCAAAAGTTGTCTGAACAATGGGCTTTTAGCTATTAATGAATAAATGTATTTCAGTGATTTTCTTTCTGAGCATCTTCCTATACTGCTTAATGATAAGTAAATCACATTAAGCCCAAAGGCTTAATGCATTAAAGAATACAGCTGAAAACATAGAGAATAAAATTTTACTCCTAATAAGCTACTGACTTTCCATGAATATTATTTTAAACCTGTTTCTCTCTTCATTATACAGAACAGTCTAGACTAGGAGGAGATGCGACGCCAGCAACATGAAATTGTTTTTTCTGAAGTTTGTTACATTCCTGTCTGTCCACCAGATTAATTCATTGAGTGGCTTTGGCTTGCAGGAGGAAATTTGAAACAGCCTTCTTTTAAAGAGCCTTTACTTTTGTTTGTCCAGCAGACTGCAACTGCACGAAATGGAAAAAAATAAGCCACTATCTGCTTTTATTATTTTTATTAACAGATGCTTTTCTAGAGGGACAGCTGAACTCTTGCAGAACACACATCACAGGCTGGAAGCAGGGTTTGAGAAGATACCATATGATGACTCACTGCTCACAATAAGAAAACTTCCTTAGATCACCCCCATCCCTCTTCCTCTGAACTGCTCCCTGCTCCATGACCCACCCTCTCCCTCCTCTGGGCTGTGCTCCTCTACAGACAGAAAAATAACAACGTTATTTTTGCTTCTTTGTTTTTCCACTGCTTTAATATGTTAAATTGGCTCACAGAAGCATTTACAGAGCATCACAGCCCATGTAAGGTTCAAGAAAGGGGCACAGAGGAATTAAGAGCAAAGCATCCAGCAGTGCACACTCCTGTTCACTGCATCTCACTGACAGTTTAACTTGACAGCTGAGGCAAATAAAACAGCTACTGGATCAGAAAAAGCTCCATCCTTTCTGGTTCTTCCCCACCAAAAAGCTTCCCTCTGCATTCATTTATTCATTCATAATTAAGTTTGTTCAATTCACCAACCCAGCCCATAAAAATTCCTAATGTATTTTTAATGGCTTTTGCTGCTGATTTAGCAAGTTGAGTCACCTAGTGGGCGAAGCGTTCCTGAGCCAGCATCAAGGAGAGCTGTTGGGAATACAGCCCAGAGCCTGGCAAAGGGATCCCTTCCTGGAACCAGGAACGTGATGGAAAGGAGCAGGACTTCCCCTTGTTAGTTGTACTAACTATGCCCGGTGGTTTGGATCAAAGCATTTTGTTAAACTGTACCGTGAACTACACCCTCAGCGACGCTGCGAATGCAGCCCAGTGAAGGCGAACTCGCTGAACTGCTGATGCGCCCTTTAGCATCGCATTCCCGAGGACAAGTGAGATACTATCAGGCATTTCCCAAACGACACCCTTCAAGCACAGCCGGATGCCTTCTGTGGCATATGCCTGCGGATTAGTCAAATGAACTTTCAGTGCTTCTCTTTTTGCAGATGACACATCTACATATAAACCTAATTTTCGGATGAAAATCGTGCACTTTGCCGTTTGGTGTCCGGACGCACAATGCCCCTCAAACAGCTCGATTTAACCAGTTCCGAGCGCTTGCTCGGTCGAAGGGGAAGAAACCCCGCCGGGCCGAGGCCTCCCGCGGGCGCCGCAGCAAGGCCGGGGCTCTCCCCGAGGTGGGGCGCTGCCGCAGCCCGGCCAGCGCCTCCTCCCGCCGCGGCACTCACCTGCTTCAGCCCGGAGGTGACGGGCCGCGCCTTGCCCTTGGCCTTGGCCCTGAGGACGCCGCTGCGGGCGATGCGGAACACGCTGCCGGCCTTGGCGGCCCCGCCGCGGCTCTTGCCCATGGCGGCGGCTGCGGCGCGCGGCCGAGTGACGTCACGCGGGGCTGTGACGCGGGGAGCGGCCAATGGCCGACGGCGCTGTCACGGGCCGGGCGCCGCGCCGCGCGGGGCCGCCAGGGGGCGTGCGCCGCCTCGGGCGGGCGCTGTGGAAGCGCAGCGGGGAAGATCACTGGGGGAGCGGCGCTGTCCCTGTCCCTGTCCCTGTCCCTGTCCCTGTCCCTGTCCCGGTCCCGGTCCCGGTCCCGGTCCCGGTCCCGTCTCGGCCTCAGACTCGGCCCTGCTGCCTCTCTCGCGCCTTCCGCAGCCAGCTTTTGCGGCACGGAAAGGCTGAGAGCTCCTCGGTGCGCGCCCGCAGCCTGAGCGCCGAGCCCAAGGCTCCGCGTTGCCACAAGCACGTGCCCACGGGCAGCCCCTGCCACACGCTTGGATAAATTCGCAGTGGGATGTGGGATACCCTCTTGCTTCACTGCCCCACATGGGAAAATGTGAAATCTTCCTGCAGCCTATTCCAAGGGAATTGGGTTTACACCCCTGGGAGAAAAACGGGAGGGGATGCAGCGGTGGGCACTTGGCTTTACTTTCGGGGGTAGCCCCAGGAATGGACACTTCGGTCTTTCCGTGCTGCGCAACTCGTGCTCTGGCGGGACAGGGGCTGGCGGAGCCACCTTCCCTCTGTTGGAGCGGGCCCTTGAGAGATGGCACTG